ACTGTATTTGTTGCTTTTGTGGTTTTTTTTTTCCTAGCCTGAAGAAGACTCAAAGAATTTCAATCAGCATAATAAACGTGTCGATCTAATACCTTATTTTCAATGAAAAGAGCTTTTCAGAGATGCCTTACATAAGAGATGCCCCACGATGCTAGCAAATACTCCACATTAGTAATGCAGTTCTTACTTTCAGCCACAAAAGCAGAAGCTTAATTTCTTATGGGAGAAGATTCTTCTCCAATCAGAAAATGTTTACTCATCTTATAACCTGCAGTGTTCATATTAAGTCTTTTATCTTTTTTACGAGATCTTGACAGAATGGGTTTATGAATTCCACAGTAACCTCCATGGCAGCCTATGAAGCATTGGGAACAGCTGCATTTTAAGGTTAGTGTTTTCATCAGATATTTTATGTTAATCCTGGATTTATCTAACCAGGCTTAGGATTATTTTTTTTTCCCCAGACCTAATTGATGATGCAGGAAGATCAAGCTCTGAGGTACTGATCATTTCACAACAGCAGCCAAAGAAAACAGTAAGACTTCTCACACAGTTTTCTCATAACTAACCACACTATGGGAGAAACATTAATCCCACTCATTTGCACCAAATGGGGTGTTCTGTCAGACATGTCACAGTACTTGATGGATGTGTAACTTTATAATATGCACAGAGCCACTTAAGGTCATTTGAAAACCACTTAAGGTCATTTTAAAGACAAGTGGGAACTTTTCCAAAATAATGTCTTCCATGTTAAGCAATTTATATTGATTGATTTCTTTTTATTTATTTATTTTTTTTTAAAGATCAAATGTCCTTGCAGCTCTGATTTGGCCAAGTCATCATGACTATGTATGTTAGCAACTGGAAAGTTCATGTACGTGCCTTCTAAAGCACCTTTTACCCCTTAAATACCCACGTCTGCAAACTTTTAAACAAAACAGCCTGACAAATGACTTAATTACTGAATGCCCACTAAGTTAACTATATCAGGAAATTATCCTCAAACTGTCAAAAAAAACCAAAACCACCCTAAGCCCCACAGATATTATATGTTATATAATACATGAGGGATATTTGCTCAAACATTTCACATACCACAGTTCCTGAAACCATTGCTGAACATTCATCAGTTTCTAAATACTCATCATCCACAGCTTCCCATGTCTCTTGGTTGCATTTGGATATGAAGTGGGACAGCTTTTGACCAATGAGTTCCTGACTGCTGCACCCAAGCAGCCTGCAAGCTTTGTCATTGGCCACTAGAATCTAGAAAAGAGGAAAGGAAGCAAAGAATAAAAGTTTTGTTTATAGATCATTATCTCCTTAGGTTGTTACTTTAATATCTTAAAATTTCAGTGGAAATACAGCAGTCCTTTTAAACTGAGGTCTTTGAAAACAATTCACTTCAGCTTCTTATTCTAAGACATCCATTGCCCAAGCATCTTCATGGTGAAGAGTGTTTGTAACATGGCTTTCCTTTTAGGTTTCCTGCTCACTTTTAACTACCTATCTCCTCCACCCTTGTGAATTAGGAGGCAAAGTTACAAAGTTGTTCTTGCAAGCAAAGCTGAGGCAGGCCATCAAATTTTATCCACTCCTGAAGGCATGCAACAATCACACAACTCATTGCCATGCTTAAGCCTCTGTTAAAGACCAAGTTAGGATTAAGTGTCTTTAGGATGGGGAAACTCAAACTGGCAGCTCAAGTTAAAAATGGCACAACTCTTTACAGCTGTTAGCCTTTAGTTTTATACTCAGGTCTCTGTTAGGACAGAAACAGAAAAATCTCTCTCCCCCAGTGCAAAAAACATGGTAAGTGGGGCAGATAGAGATGCCATGCCACTATAAATTTATCCCTGGGCTGCTACTTTCTAGACAAAATGCCTGAAGCATGATCAGCTTTTTCTTTCTTCTCTTATGCTATGTTGTAGCTGCATTCTTCTTTAGCCTCTTTTTTGATTTGAAATAAAAGACTTAAGATAACAGTGCTTCTAATTGGTTACATATATTTTGCTAACTACAACATGCCATAAAAATACATGCATTGCCAGTCTTCAGAAAATTACTAAGCGGATTATAAAACACCTTCATGACACTCTACTACCTGCAGATACAAGTAAGAATAACAGGTATTTTAGCTTATGTGACATTATCCAGCCTGCATCAGTTAGGTGGGCTATAGCTTAGCAGTCACAGCTGCAAATACCTCAGTTGTGGTGACATCCACAGTGAAGATGGCCTGGTTTGGGTTGCGGGCAGCAGTCAGGAAGTGCTGGCTGGATTCCTCCAGGGCAGGGGTGTGCACAAAGGAGCAAGAAGAACTTCCAACAGAAATGGAAAGAGAGGAAGAGTCCCGCTGAGCCCAACAGTTCCCAATTTTGCTGGCACAAACATTATGAGCTGCCAGCGAAGAGAAGCAGTAAGAGCTCCATTTCTCCCCTGTGAGAACAAAAAGAGCAGCTTTTTTAATAGTTTACTACAGGAGCACTGGGGAAATTAATGGAAAATCAGTTGACTGACTGTCAAGTAATTACATCCCAAAATACATGCTTCTATACTGTTTTAAGAAAATACAAGAAAATAAAACCAATGAAACTAAAGTCAACAGAAACAATTATAATAATAAACATTTTTGAGTCACAGCCACTGGAATAATTAAACTCCATCTGTAGGCTAGAAAAAAAAAAATTGCCAGCATGCAAATAATTCAACCAGACGATTCAAGCTTTTCTTCTGCTTAAGTCACGAGAGTTTAAAAGGTTTTGAATTATCTCGAGTTAAAATTGGAACTATTATTAAATATAATTGCAGTTAGTCAGAAGCCAGTTAATTAACTATTCACAAGATGTGACACTGAAATACCAGAGCCCACACCAACACTTTATGTTACACAATGGCAAGTGATTGTACTAAAACTTCCAGAAGTTCTGACTATAATAAATGCTCCCATGGGAAGTGACATCAGCAACCAAACAAACACCATTACTCCACTTCCAAACTAAGTAGCTTTGAAGGACTGGCAGCAATGGAAAGGGAGAGGAAATACTGGAGAATTATCATAGAATGGCCCAGGTTGGAAGGGACTTCAAGGATTGTGAATCTCCAACCCCCCTGCCACATGCAGGGCCACCAACCTCCCATTTAATACCAGACCAGGCTGCCCAGGGCCCCATCCAATCTGGCCTTGAACACCTCCAGGGATGGGGCATCCACAGCCTCTCTGGGCAGCTGTTCCAGCACCTCACCACTCTCCCTGTTAAGAACTTCACCCTGACATCCAGGCTAAAACTTCCCTCCCTCAACATAAAACCATTTTCCCTTGTTCTGCCTTTTATCTACACTTTCAACAAGTTGATTCCCCTCCTGTTTGTAGGCTCCCTTTAGGTACTGAAAGGCTGCAATGAGGTCACCCTGCAGCCTTCTTTTCTCCAGGCTGAGAAAAGCCTTTGAACAAGCCCAGCTCCCTCAGCCTGCCCACATAGGGGAGGTACTCGAGCCCCCTGATCATCTTTGTGGCTCTCCTCTGGACCCTCTCCAACATCTCTGTGTCTTTCTTGTACTGGGGGCTCCACACTTGAACACAGTATTCCAGATGGGGCCTCACAAGAGCAGAGTAGAGGGAGAATCACCTCCCCATCCCTGCTGGCCACTCTTCTTCTGATGGAGTCCAAGATACCATTTGCTTTCCGAGCTGCAAAAGCACACTGCTGGCTCATGTTAAGCTTTCCATTCATCAGGACCCCCAGGTCCTTCTCTGCAAGGCTGCTCCCAAGGACTGGAGAAGTCATCCCAAGGACATCGAGTCACTAAGGTTGGAAAAGACCCCTCAGATTCCCAAGTCCAACCCCAGCCCACCCCACCATGCCCACATCCCTCAGTGCCACCTCCCCACAGCTCTGAACACCTCCAGGGATAGTGACTACCCCACCTCCCTGTGCAGCTGTGCAGTGCCTCACTGCTCTTCCTTAGAAGTTTTCTGTAACATTCAACCTGAACTTCCTGTGGCACAACTTAAGACCATCAGCTCTCGTCTTACTGCTGCTAATCTGGTGCCTCACCTCACCACAGCCTGAGGCCTCTCAGTGAGTTGCAGAGCCATGAGGTCTCCCCTGAGCCTCCTCTTCTCCAGACCGACCCACCCCAGTTCCCTCAGCTGCTCCCCATCGCACTTTGTGCCCCAGACCCCCCACAGCTCCGCTGCCCTCTGGACACACAGCAGCACCTCAATGTCCGTCTCGTAGCGATGAGCCCAGCACTGAACGCAGCACAGGAGATACGGCCTCACCAGAGCTGAATACAGAGCACGGTCACCTCCTGCTCCTGCCGGCCGCACTATTGCTGACACAAGCCAGGCTGCCCTCTCCTCCTTGGCCAGCCGGGCACACAGCCGGCTCACGTTCAACCGGCCGCCAGCCCATCTCCGTGCTTCTGCTACCGCTGCCAGCGTGACGGAGGGAAAGGAGGAAGGGCCGTAAGAGCACCCACGGCTGCCGCTGACAGCCCGCGACCCGCAGAACACAGCGCTCACCGGACAGCGAGGCTCCCCGCCGGCACAGCCCGGCCAGCCGGCTCCTCCCGCCGCTACCGGCCCAGGGGTAGGACCTGCTCAGCTGCTCCGAGTCGTTCGGCGGGCCGAGGCCCGAGGGGCTGCCTGCGGAGCGGCCGTGCGCGCTGCCGGCCATCCCCGCGCAGGGCCGGGAGCAGCGGGGAGCGCTCCGCTCACAGACGCGCGGCCGGGCCGAGCGCTGCCCGCCGCAAAGCACAACGGCCGGCTCCCAGCGCGGCCCGGTCAGCGCCTCGCGGCTCTCGCCTCGGGCTGCCGGGGGCGGGACGTGGCCGTCCCGCTGCCCAATAAGCGAAGGCGGTGGCAGAGCGGCACGGCCGTCAGCCAATGGGCGACCGCGGCGCGGTGGCGGGCCGTTCGAACGAGGCGCCCGCCTCCCTGCCCGCGGCCGTTGCTAGGAACGCTCAGGCCGGCGTGGATGGTGGGCGGGATGGGCCCAAACCGATTCAACGTTCAGGAACGCGGGGCTCCCTCACCTCCCCGTTCCCAGCCACAGCCGCATCCTGGTCGCCCTGCTCCGTATCCTCGCTTTCCGGGGCTGAAAGCGTACGAGGGCCCGGACACTTCCCACGCCAGTTATGGTGCCGGGGTTCCAGACCCGTAAAGCTGGGACAAACCACGGAGGAGTCTGCAAGCGGACCGCCGGGCCCGAGGCGCCGCCGCGAGGGAGCAGCCCCGGCGCTTGTACGGCACCGCAGGCCTCCGTCCCGCCAGCGGTGCACTACAACTCCCAGAATGCCGCGGGGCACGGCCCCGCCCGCGCACCGGGGCCGGACGGCCCCAACCGTTACCCCCCCTCCCCTCAGGCTCACACCCGCGGAGGCGATTGGCTGTCGGCGGGGCGCCGGCTCTGAGCTCTGATTGGCTGCGACCGCCGTTGAGGCGGTTGCCGGAAGGGGGCGGTGGGAGGAGAAGCAATATGGCGGCGGGGAGCGGAGAGGGGCAGCAGGAGATGATGGAGGGTGAGAGCCCGCTGCGGCCGGCGGGGTCGGGTCGGCACGGAGTGTGGAACGGCGCGGCCCCGGGGTGCTACCCGTCGATCGGGAGCCCCCGGAGGGGTGCGATAGGCTCGGGGCCGTCCTAGCCGGGCAGCCCCTTGGGGTCCGGCCTGAGGCGAGCCCTGTGGTGATCCCGGGAGCGGGGCCTGAGGGGCGCGGGGCGCGGCCTTTGCGGGGGAGGTGGCAGAAGCGGGGCTGCGGAGGCGGCCGTGACGTAAACGTGAGGAGAATGTAAGGAGAATCCCCCGGTGTGGTTTCCTCGTGTGGGAGCCGCGCTGTGCCCAGGCGGCCGCTCGGGCTGCAGCCAGCCGTGCCTTTGTGGCTCTTCTTCTTCGTGTCGTTGGTACCCTCGTACGTGATGCTGGTTTTATTTCCTCTGAGAGGTTTTTAAGTATCGTAGATCTCCTTCCATTTCCGTAATCTTTGGAATTGCACTTCATTGATCTAAGAAATTTCCTTTTTCCTCCAGTCTTCTTCCCAGATTGTTGGTTTTAGGAAGATGTGATGGGAGGAAAAAGTGCATCCAAAATCAAAGTAGAAACAAGGGGTAAGAGGCCTTTTATTTAAGACTAAACCTTTCATTTAGTTAATTTAGGATTTCTACTAACTGCATAGTGGTATTTGTGAGTCCTGGTTGTGATATCTGCTTGCTGCTTTTTGCCCTCAGCGTGCTGCCAGAAGCAGCCTAACTCTGCTGTTCTCTATCTCCTGCAGTCGATAAGCGGATCGAATCGGAGGAGTCAGAAGATGAAGGGAAGAAGCAAGCGGTGCGCTTAGTAACAGACCTCAGCCAGCAGAGCCTGAGAGATGAGCAGAATGGTGAGAACTCCCCAGGTACCTTCTCGCCTCATTGATGGCTTTAGGGAGGTGTGAGCCACCCACCTGTGTCAGTCCTTTGTATTTCTCTGTGTATCCACGTTTTGTCTCAGTGTTAGATAACAGCTGCCCTAGAGAAAAGTTTTTTAAGTAATAGTATAGTCCTTGCTATTGTAAAGCTGCCTTCTTTCATGGAATTGCAGATGTTAGATCCTTTTTTTAGTTATCGGTGTGTGGAAACTATGCTTCTCCTTGAAATGTCGACATTCAAAAAGAGCTTGATTCATGCTTCTTTGTGGAAGGGTTCTCGTTTTCTATAGAAAGATGCTGGAAGTGTTTATTAAAAATGAACAAAACCAGCTCTTCGTACTCCTCTACTGCGTATAGCTTTTAACTTTAAAAATTGCCAGATCCCTTTGGATGGCAAAGAGGAGTTTTTCTATGTAGACTGAAGAAAGCAGGTTGATGTGGTTTGTTTTGTTGCCGGATTTTTTGTTTGTTTGTTTAAAAATTCTAAGGCGTGAAAATTGTACCTGTTTGAATTGCCTTGATTTCAAAATGTCTCTGCTGTTTTTGCAGTTTGTTTTAGCTCATTGGGTAGAAATTTCAGCAGGTGCTTTAGAGCCCGTGCTTATTTAATGGAGATGTTTGTTTTATGGTAGCTTGCAATTTGTCAAAGCAAATCGATACCTGAAGAACCTACACTGCAGTATCATCTGGACTTTTAACAATAGCTAACAATTTAAGGTGAAGTACATCCTTTTGATAGACCTGCTGTAGGTATTATTGGCCTGGAAATGGAACTGAAATAAAATGCTTTCTGCAGCAAATTTTAAATCATTGTTAGCTATCAAACAAACAAAAAAACCTGTAAGTTGAAAAATGTATGGTGGTGTGTCTAGGAGCACATCCCACAAACTGTGGGGATCCTGAGCTGTGCACCATCAGTTGAAGCACACAGATCAGTCGGGGATAGTTTTCCTTTGCATGCACATAATGTTTTGAGCATTCATTCAGCTGATGTCATTTACTTGTGCATTTGAGGCTATGTGTTGTATGTTGTTTCCCTTTGGGAGCTGTTATAGGAGAGAAATGACTTTGAATGACATACTTTTATTTCAAATGGGGGCAGGAAAAAAACAACTTATTGTCTGATTTACATTGGATGCTACTTAATGTGAAAAACAAACAACCAACTATTTCTAGAATAGGAACCAAAAAGAGGAATAATACTGGAGCACTTGAGTTAGGAGCTGGCAAGGAAACTAAGGTGTTCAGCTGAAAGGAGCATGGATTTTTTTGCCACCTTTTTTCATTGAAGCTCACAAATAGAGATCGCACAGCTGAGGTTTCACATTTATCGTTGAGTTAATTCTCTGAGGAATAGCACTGCTGCTGTGAAATCTTATAACTTATCTTATAACTTATTATACTTTTCATGCATGTGCAGTTAAAAGGTGCAGTTGGGCTTCAAATGGTTGTGGTGCTGTGGATTTACGTAACAGTAACTGCTGCTCTGTGCTGCAGAACTCGGGCTTCCTGAGTGGCATCCTTTCTTCCTACACTTGCAGAGCTTGCAGGCGTGGGTTACACCAAACCTCTCTTAAGTAACTTTAGTGGCAAAGCAATGTATTTCTTTTTTTCCCCTCTTGAGAAACTGTCTGCATTCTAAATTGTGTACTGCAGGAGCATGTGAGCTGCTGTGTGTGCTGTGAGGAAATGCACTGCTTGACAGAGAAGCCTCTCAGCTGGCAGAGACAGAGGAACATTTTTGACCAAAGTATCAACTGAGTGCACCAGCTTTACTGTTAGACACCTTTAAAGCCCCAAAAGGACAGCTTCCATCACTGAACACTGAAACTTACTGCTTGTACAACTCAGTCCAAGGGGAATAGTTTGTCTTTTTCTGATGAGACGTCTCAAATAACTGTTGTTCTGACCTCAGACTCTGTTCCTGGTGGCTGTAAGTTCGGCTGGGCTGTTTGTCTTGGAGCGCCCTGTGCTGGCAGATTTTTGCACCCTAGAAATAGGTTAAAGAGATGTGGTCATGGGAGCAGCTGGGAAGTGTATCTGTTCCCCTGCTGAAGTGCATCCCTTCTCATCTGGAAGAAAAATGGAAATTCAAGTATTGCCTGGTGCTAAAATGCTGACAGGCACATTTATGCTCGTCAGTTCTGGTGGCATTTCTATACCACCATGCAACGTCACCAAATTTCTCAGCTCATTTTCAATCCCCAAACTGTAATTTATGCTCCTTGCTAATTTATGCTATATAAAATCTTAAAAGATGAGGAACAGAGGACTCTCTTTAAATCTTGATTTCCACAAGTCAGTTCAGACAGGGCTCTTTCCTGTCATGGCATAATACAGTGAGGTAAATAACTTTGTGGAGCTATCAAACCCTGCAGCTTGGCAGGATTAACAATTGTGATGTTTGTACCCTTAATCCTTACCTGACTGCAGATGATGCCAAGCATTTGTAGGAAAAGCACTCATTAAGGACTGGGGGATGTTTGGCATTTGTATGAATGTTGTGGCCCTGCTCGGGAAATAAAATTCATTATTGTGTTAATGGAATGGGCTTGCATACTATAATGCAGCAGTTAATCCAAAACCTTTGAAACTTGACTGATATTAAAGATGCTTCCAGTTTTTTGGTTGCACAGAGGGCTTATATGCTTAAAATGGAAAGGGGTTGCATGTTGTGTATCTGTTTTGCAAAGCCTTATTAGACTTCCTTTGGAGTTTGATGCAAACAGCACACCATCTTCTGCAAATGGGAATCGGGTGTGAATTATTCAGCATGAATGTATCCAGTAAACTTCACTCCCTCTTGTGCTATGATGGAAGTACAGCAAATGCTGGGCTACCTTCCAGAACTACAAAAGCATTTCCCAAGCAAATGTATGCAGTGTGATAAACAGTGTTTTCTAGCATATTACTGAGCTTATTCAAACAAAAGAAGGGAAGTCCATGCGAGCGTGTGCCTGGCATATACTGGCAATATTTGTGAAATAAAGACTGGAGGGTGGAGTTGTGGAGATGCTTGGTCATTCTTGGCACTACCAGCTGCCAGCTTAGGTGTACTTAGGTTCCTCCTTGGCACCCATGTGTTAGGTTATCCAAGGAGCACAGACTCCTTAGAGGGTACATCCTCAGAGGGATGCTTGCCCTAAGTGTAAAGAAAAGAAATCCTGCCAAGTTCGGTCTTAAGCCAGTGTTACACATCAGCCAGGTAGGCAGGCTGGATAAGGTGCTGCTCTTTTTTCATTTGCTCTTTTTTCATTTGGAGTTGTGTTGGTAAGAAAGCTTTGTTTTGTTACTTGCTGTCATGATGAAAGTGAGTGTGTTTTTACTGCAGCAGAATATCCAAATTGTGTATCTTGTGTGTAACTTGTTTTGAAGGGTGCTTGCTCCCTTTGTCCCTCTGGATGTTAGCCATTGTAATCGTGTCTTTAACTGTCAGATAGCAGAAGTCTATAACATTTGTTTCTGCTGCAGGAGAAGCAGAGACACCAGTGGACATGGAGACAATTAGCCTGGACCCAGAAGCTGAGGTAAAGGAAGATGTTTTGTTCTTTCAGGCTTTACATAGCAAGATGAAAGGGAAAGCAAGTATTGAAACCTAGCTAAAAGATCTCATTCTTCTGAAGGTCCTGGCTAGCCTATCTTCTCTGAAACTGGTTCAGAGCCTTCAGGCTAGACATAGAGGTTTCTACTCTTAATCAGTGTCCAAAACCTTTTGTTTATCATTTTGAGTTTTAGAATAAACACAGAAGCAAAGAAAGTGTGTTCCAGTTAAGCAATAAGTGGGTAAGAGAATTTTGTGCAGTACTTTGTTTAAGCTGCACAACTCTTTCTCAGCAAAATTATGAATTTACTAAAAGAAATAGTCCCCAGTTGGTGAAACCAAGCTCACGTTGAGGAGAAGGCTTTTGCCCTCTCACAGGTACTGCCTTTGCAGTTAATGAACTTAGGCCGTGTGCTTCACCATTGCTGGTAAAATCATCTGCCAAAGCAAATTTTTACGAGCTCTTGAAAGAGAAGTTTTAATGGGCTGTGCTTTCTGTAAGTCTGTCATTTTTCTTAGGAGAAAATAACTAGGTTCAACTTTTAAAGAGTAATTTGAAACAATTGCTGAATCCCTCTGACCTCTGTTTCTCTCTCAGGATGTTGACCTGAATCATTTCCGAATTGGGAAGATTGAAGGGTTCGAGGTGCTCAAGAAAGTAAAGGTAACAGCTCAAAAGAATAGAGAATATCATTTGGAGCTGGAGATTGTGCATGTCAGACCTACTAGAGAACAAATGCAGGAGTCTTTTTGGCTGCCATCCTAGCAATTTCACCTTATGTTCTTGTCAACTTGATGTTATGATGTAGAATACCAATAGCCAAAAATTATAAAACTCTGACAGTTTTTCTGAAGAAGGTCCATCCAACCTACATTTCTTCTCTTCTAGTTTAAAGGTCTATGTCTTATCACTATTAGACCATTTATAAAGTTGGTCCCTCTCCTGCTTGTAAGCCCCCTTCTACTTCTGTAAGGCCACAGTGAGGTCTCCCTGGAACCTTAAAGGATTTCTGGAGGCTTCTAGTAAACTCCTGCTCAAAGCAGGTCCAGTTGGAGCATGTGGCTTAAGGCCTTGTCCAGTGAAACTCTTGAGTGTTTCCAAGGATGGCGATTACATGGCTTCTGTGGGGCGCTGTTCTGGTGGCTGCGTTCGTGGTAAAAGCTTTCCTTCTGTAGAGATGGAAGAAAACAGGAAAATATTGTATTTTACAAAACAAAACCCACTTTCTGCTTGTATGCCAGAAGGCATGACGTGCTGCTGTTCATATCTGTTTTCCTGCCAGACTCTGTGTCTGCGTCAGAACTTGGTGAAGCGCATTGAGAACCTGGAGCAATTGCAGACCTTGCGGGAGCTGGATCTGTACGACAATCAGATTCGGAAGATTGAGAACTTAGAGGCTCTTGTGGATCTTGAGTGAGTCATGGGGAATCACCAGATTTGGGCTGTGGGTGGATTGTCACTCGCTGAGTTACTGAGCTGTAATTATTCCAGTCTTAATCACCCAGAGCCTTCTCATCATTCTCTTGTCTGTGAAGGAAGATTTCTGGTCTCTGTTGATATTTAACTGTGCAGTAAACCATTTTCATTTCCACTGTCCCAGGTGAGCTCCAGGATAATAAAACATCGTCTGTGTAAAACAGCAAGAATGGTAGGTGGTTGCAGCTTCCACGTAGGTGCAGGAGCACTCAGACATCCCTTGGTATTGATAGGGACTGCTCCATATAACATCTGTACTTCTGCAGAAAATGTCTAGAGATGTGAGTCTCTTGGGGACAAAGTGCTATTCCCAGTTTCTGGCACTCATCCTTCATCAGTCTGGAGGTGGATCACAACCATTTCCTCTGGAACTGTGGAGCAGTGACATGCTTACAGCACTGCTAACTGCTTCGTGTTTAAGGGAGACCTTGTCCTAGAGAGGCAGAGCTTGTAGGGATGTACGTTTCCTATGGACTGTACAGTGCTGAAAGTTGGCTTCCCCCCATGGTGGCAGTTGCACAGCTGGGCAAAACAGTGTGCTTTTTGCATGTGACATACCTTTGTTTTCTCATGGCGTGCTATGAAAGTATTTTGCAAGTTGTATTCATTATTTCTGATTAAAGGAATGCCACTTGTGACACCAGCTTCATGGCCTAACAAAATACTTGATTTCTGCAGATAGTGAGGCTCACCAATTGTTCACAAATGCCTCTGCCAGGACCTTCCATGCCTCCTGGACTGAAGAGCCCTTTGTTTTGTTTTACCTCAGGATCCTGGACATCTCGTTTAATGTTCTGCGACACATTGAAGGACTAGATCAGCTTACTCAACTTAAAAAACTCTTCCTCGTCAACAACAAAATCAGCAAAATTGAGAATTTGAGCAACTTGCAGCTGTTACAGATGTTAGAGTTGGGATCCAATCGAATTCGGGTAGGCTTACTGTACAAGATGTTAGCTAGAGAGTTTTGAGCTCTGGCTTTTGGGATTAGCCCATTTTCAAAGTGCTCTGTATTGACTTTGACTTGTGATTTTGCTGTTTTTTTTGTCCTAGCCATTCATTCAATGTGTAGTTGTTTGTTTGCTGCACCTGCTGGATCCTTCCATTATGTATGTGTGTAGTGCCTGGCTTTTAAACTTCAACTGAGGAATTTCTCTTCAGCTCATTCCCTGTGTACTGCCTTCTGCAGATGGCAGTTTTCTCTCAATAGAGAGCCAAACCTATCAGAACTACCACCTATTGTTTTCTTTTGCCTTCCTCATGGCTGATGCTCTGTCTGGTTCTACTTCATCAAACCAACTGAACTCTAATAGAAGTTTCAGGTTCATATGTGTATTTGATAAATCTCTACATTTGTCTCACTCAAGAAAAAGGTTTTCTTGAGGCTTTGCTCTGAAGTGCCTCAAAAACTTGATAGCCCATTGCTGACTACTTCTGATTTGTCAGTTAGCAACCTTTCCAATTTTGTGATTTTGATTGCACTTAAAGGGAGGCAGTTCTGAGTGATGCATTTTGCCCAGGTTGTAAGAGAATGGATGAAGCAGGCAACACAAGAGACTCGCTGTGTGCAAAGTGAACTATTAATTTTTTACAAGCTTTTTCAATTATATATACACTTTATAAACTAGCTGTAAGAAGTGAGTGCATTCCAATCTGGAAATTGTATAAAACAACATTGCCCAGTTGCAGATGCTGAGAAACTCTTTGTTATGTTGAATGAACAAATTAGGGAAATATATATTTTTCATATTTTAAGTGTTGTGGAAGCACATCTCCTTTCTAGAAAAGAAGGAAACTCAAGCAATTACGAACAGCCTTTGAAGGCAGAAATGTTTGCTGCTTTTATGAACTGGAAAATCTCCTTTTTCTCCAAAAGCTGAAATGAAGCGACTCTTCTGTCTGAAGGAATTGTTACTTTAGAAAGTTACTTAGGGGGAATAAATCCTGAGTGGGAGAGCATCAGCCAGATGAGTGGTGAGGAGCATTATTGGTTTGCATAGGCTGGGGAATGTGATTTATTTTAAAAGTGTACTTCTTGTATTCAGAAGCATAATAGGCTTTAGGGGCACCAGTCCTTGTGTTTCCAAAGCTGGGTTGAAGAAAACTATTCCATCTCATTTCTCAGCATCATTACTCAGTGCAAATAAGAATAAAAACCAAACCAGCTGGGCTTCTGTACTGATATTTGGGTGGTGTATTGCCATCGGTGTTGGAGAAGCTGGAGAATATATTTTGAATGACCAGCTTGAACTGTTTTATGTATATTTTTTTGCAGTGCTGAGGCATTACCACTGTGCATGGTAAAAACCAAAACAATGATATCACTGTATCACTATCTTATTTTTAGCATCTTTTCTTTTTATCTGTTAATTCTTTTCTGGCTTCTTTGAAAAGCAATGCTCTATGCTGCTCATTGCTTTATTGGAGTGAGAAACCTGTGTCTAGGCATGAAAAAAATGCATCTCACCTGGGGAAACCAGAGTTTTTCTGGTAGTTTCCTGCTGGCAGGGCGGCCTGGCTACGTGCTTCATAGGTGGGTGTTTCTGTAAGAAGCTATGAGCAGGCAGGTCAAGCAGTGTCTCTGGGTCTGGGATGCCTGCTACGTTCATCCCCTGAGCATTAAAGTTTCTGCAGTAGTGCTGTGTTAGTCATTTGCTGCAAAACTCTTCACTTCTTGGTGTGCACTTAACCTGGGTCTGGCGTGACTTAGAAAACACTTGTAGTTCTGTCCTTCTTATATGAATGGTGGGGAAACAATTTCATGCCTGAGCTGACCCATTTTCATGCTTTTCTTTCCAAAGTTGGACTGAGGCAACTACAAGGCAAGCACTTCATTTGTTCCCTAGCTTTTTTTCCTCATGCCTGTTTCATACTTAAATGTGGCTTTTTTTATAGCTTTAAGTAGCTTTTTTTTTTTTTTTCTTTCTGATTATTTCTTCTCAGTACCCTCAGAGTCACAAGTATTTCCTCCTCAGGGCTGGGGGAGCTACCACTGAGAAACAAATCTATTATTTTCTTGCAAGGCCAAAACAGGGGTAAGTCCACAGGCTTAGAAGGAGGGTGAGTCCAAATATGAGCTGATAAACAGCTTATGTTGAATCTATTGGCAATTCTGGGATAGAGATAAAAAAAGCTTCTTTCCTTCCCAGAGCATACCTATAATACACTGTGTGCATGTGTCCATTCCCCTCTGCCTTCCCTTGCCCACAAGTGCACACAGAAGTCTGAATGGTGCTGGGATGTGGTGTCCTGTCTCACCAGCACTGCTGGGCTCTGTCCCTGCCTGGCAGAAAGGGTTCTGAAAGCTGGCATGTCACGAAGTTCTTGAGCACAGATGCACAGCTGTGTATCCATATCCATACTGCTGCTTTCCTGTGAGCTGAAATCTGTTTTTAAAATTTGTTTTTAGCAGTACCTGCTTCTATTTTGTATTTTTGTAGCTTTTCCCTTGCAAAGAAAAAAGGATTTTTTTTAAAAAAACTTCCTCCTGTTCACAGGAACCCTTCCTAAACCTATATTTTATCCCTTTTCTTGCCCTGTCTTTTTTCAGTCTTCTGTTGATGCTTTCTGGTGCACCCATTTTTTAATTTTATTTTTTGTAAATAAAGACTATGGTTCGTCTTGGTGCCTCACAGAGATGTTCTCTTCCACTAAAAGCTGAGCTCAGCATTTGAATTGATGTAGTGTGTCTGCTGTGTCAGTAGTGTATATATTTGTGTACGTTGTTTAAATTGGCATGTGCTGCCAGCAGTGTGAATATACAGACAGAAGTTAAATGTGCTAACAGCTTATGGCATCTAGATACACCCAGGAGACAATTAACCTTGCTTATGGCAGAGAAACCGATGAGCAGAGGAGCTGGGCAGCTTGCCTCCGACTGCTTTCATCACTGATGGCTAGTACTGAATTTGGGAATTATTTTTTCTCCTCCAGCTTCTTTTTCCATTCACCAGTGACAGATACTCTAGATTCACAAATGAGTGAATTTGAATCCTTGAATCCTGCCCTGGGTGTACACCTTGTGGCCCAGGGAATGTCCTTTTCAGTGTTACAGAGCCTGTCCGTTCTCTGATCCTGCCTGGACACTGGGGCTACAGCCAGGAGAAAGTGATGTGACCCCTGCTGAAGCCAGCAGCTAGCAATGCTGTGGGCCAGCTCTCACAGGCTGAGGTTTGCTGTCCCTGCACAAAGCCCTGCACTTTGCTCTTGGGTCCTGAGGGAGGCCCAGCCCGCACACTTTGTGTTGTGGAGTTGGCAGGCTTGTTCTTCACAGAAGGGGAACTGCTGCACGGGTCAAGGCTATACAGTGGTGCTAAGTGTATCTGCAGGTTGGAGTTCTGCATCACAGCAATGCTGTCTGCTTTGGTCTTCTTGCAGGCCATTGAAAACATCGACGCCCTGGCTAATCTCGACAGTCTGTTCCTTGGAAAGAATAAAATCACCAAGCTCCAGAACTTGGATGCGCTGACAAACCTGACCGTGCTCAGTATACAGGTATTGATCCTGCTCTGTCCTGTTGTGTTTGAAACACCCTTGGTGATGTGAACCAGCCTTACAATGAGATCTTTGGAATCTTTGGTGTTTGGGTCAAACTGCCATAGTAGAAGAGTGAAATGAATGTGAAGCCCAACTTCCTGAAATACAGCTTGTCACTTTTGCAGTAACATCAAATGAGTAATGCCAGAGAAGTCCTTTTATTGACAGCGAGCTCAGTGTCACTGCTTTCTGCCTGAACAGGGAAGAAAAGTGAATGACAAGCCTGTGCTAAATGAAACCTGCCCTTAATGAGCTACTGGAAGCTTCCAGCTTTTTAATGGGTGGAATAAATACCATCTGACAAAGTTCATGCAGTCTGGAACAAGCTAGGCAAACAGTTCCTGAGGAAGTCGTACTTTCTACGCATTACAGTACATGTAGGCATCTTAATCTATAGGATGTACAGAACTGTATGTAGCAGAGTATATCAGAACTGAAATCCTGTAACTTCACTTAGGGTTATTCTGCTAAAAAGACCTACAGAATGAATGCTATTGATGTATCATCATGTTTCTGAAGAGACCAAGTAGGAAACTGCTGCTTCTAATGGGGAGGTCAGGGTCTGACTCTCCTGAATTTGGGGACTTTGCTTCCTCTGGAGACTTTGCTTCCTTAGGTATGGTGCTACAGGCCTTTAAAACCTAGCACGTGGCATTGATGATCACCCAGACAGGCAATTTCCCCTTCCAATGCTTTATCTCCTATGACTCGCTTGCATTTTGAGTTGTTCAGACTGATCTTAAACTGTTGTTATGCTTTCAGAGTAACCGTCTGACCAAGATTGAGGGGCTGCAGAGCTTAGTGAACTTGCGTGAGTTGTACCTCAGCAACAATGGCATCGAAGTCATCGAGGGACTGGAGAACAATGTGAGCAGCATAAGTGTGTCAGAACTGCTGCCTTCAGCATCCTGCCAGGGGGGTGGGCTTTTCCTGAATCTTTTGTTCCTCAGCTGCTTTAGTTACATGAAGGGTTTTGAATATCTTGAAAAGACCATAAAAATCCAAGTATTAGTTACATTGAAATCCCTTACATGCACAAAGCCCCTCTGGATCTGGAGTAAGTTGATTTCTTGATTGTAGAGGGGAGCATTTGAAGCATGTGGTTCATGCAGCAGCCTAGCAGGTCTTCAGCAGTGAAATGATTGATGGCCACTGCTGGCTGGCTCTGATGTAGCATTCCAGACAGCAGTTTGTAGATAACTGTGAGTCTTTATGGGTAGGACAAGTGGAGCTGGGAGTGAGAGGGACAAGCTGTGGCATGTGGCTTGCCTTCCTGACACTAATTCTAGATAGGATTGATTTCACAGAAGTCTGTAGCATTTTGATTCTCACGCAACAGCAGATGGCATTGTAGGGGAGCAGAGAAATCAGGAACTTGGTTGTGTGCAGGGCAGAAAACTACCTCTAAAGCTTTTGAACTTTCTGCTGCAAAAAGTGTTCAACTCTGCCTAGGAGGATGCTTCTGATCCAAATGTTAATGGGTTCCTATTCTTAATGTACTGTGGAGAGAGAAAACTTGCTTTCTAGGAGCCTTCAACTGACAGTTGCCATCCAGCAAGTAATTGCTTTCATTTTTGCTGCATGGCTTCTGGGAGGTCAGTAACCTGGCTTCGTTAAAAGCAGTCTTGCTAAATGTATATAGGAGTTCTCATTGTAGGACAGCTGGTAAAATAACATGTCACTGCTTCTAATGATTTTTATCTCTGGGCCTGAGAGACAGAAGATGAAAGGAAATCTAGTGTAACGTTTTTGTTTGCTTGTCTAGAACAAACTCACAATGCTGGACATTGCATCCAATAGAATCAAGAAGATCGAAAATATCAGTCACCTAACAGAACTGCAGGAGTTCTGGGTAAGTGCTGTACACAGAGAAAAAGGCCTCTGATGGGGAGAAGTGGTGAATGTCCACAGCTGTTCTTAGGGCAGCTCTTGGAATGCTTCTCATCTTGTTGAACCACCTTAGGAGGGTAGAGTGTGATGGTTTCCCCTTGGGAAGGAGTTGAGCCTATGAAGATTTTGGCTTTGGTTAGTGGTAACAAGTCTGTCTCTATCTAGAATATAGGCCCTGCCTTCACGCTTGTGGTGGTTATGAAACAGCCTTACTGTGTCCTATTTTTGCAAATCTCATCTTTCTTTAAGTCAGCATGACTGTGTAATGAGAGAAGCTGATACTGTGTCACCGCTGCACTGGATCACAGCCTCTGTTTAGAATAGACTTGATATGGTTGTGTTACAAATATGAAACAAATGGAACTGTCTCTGGTTTACTTCCACTTCTAGGAGGCAGATAATTGTTCAGGATTGTTCCTGTTACCTTTGTGACACCCTAGGTGGCAGGTCCTTTACCATTCATAAGTCTGCTAAGGATATATGCAGAGACTTTTCCAACTGATATATCAGTACTCTGCCACTTTGGGGACCTACATACAAATCTGTTCATGTCTTAGGGAAAAGCAGCAGGTATTCATGAATTAACACATGCTCTAGCTCCTTTCCTTTGTTAGAGCTGAATGTTATGCTGCCTTATGCCTGTTGTTTGGAGTTCAGTTATATAAACTTCTGAGCAGAGGCTGAGAGAGAGGATGGAAAAGTGGTTGCAAATGGAATCAAGCTGCAGACCCTACTGTCCAGGCTACGTAGACCATCTTTCTTAGAGTAGCTTAGCCAACTGCCAGTGGTGTTACCTGGTGGTATTTATTCTGTAAGGAACTCCTTAAGTAACAGGAGCTGAGAAGCCTGTTCAAAAGATCTCATGTTAGAATTGAGACTGTACAGTATGGTCAGTGTGTGACCTCTTGGCATCCTTTGCAATTTCCTCCGGTGCTCCTGTTTGTGGTTGCTCTGCTTATAGAAGGCACTACACAGCTGTTTCAGTTCCTTTTACAGGAAGCAAAGGCAAGATCCTAACCTCACTGGGCTTTCCTTGCAAAAACATAGTATTTTAAGAGTCCTCTGCCAGACAGAGCATTGGCCAGGATCTCCTGGCTTTGTCCAGCTGCTTTCCCTACCTGGAAATGGAAAATGCTCTTCTGGCTTTTCCCCCCTCCACTTCAGCACTGTTAAAAAAGAACAGTTGCTGAGGGAGGCCAGAACCAATTCATTAATAGTTACTTTTTAATCTCCTGGGAGAAGGACCACGTAGACAGGGACTTCCTACTGATGCATGAAGATGGTACAGTTACAGCTACTGAGTGATGATCCTCTTGAGCAGCATTGGTGTGGTTCCTGATACTGGAAGTATTGATGTGCGTGTGCATGTGTGTGCTCTGCAGATGAATGATAATCTCGTTGAGAGCTGGAGTGACCTGGATGAGCTGAAAGGAGCCAACAATTTGGAAACTGTGTACCTGGAACGAAACCCTTTGCAGAAGGATCCCCAGTACCGACGCAAAATCATGTTGGCCCTCCCATCTGTCCGGCAGATCGATGCCACGTTTGTTCGGTTCTGAACCTCCCGCTGCCCCTTCTCTCCTGCCCTCCTTGGAGAAATGTCCCAGCTGGGTTTTTTATCCACTTACCACTCCCCAGGTCTTCAGTACACTGACACTCTCAGAGCAAATAGTCAACAAAAAGCACTGACTACCAGATCTTGTGTACAATGCACTCATTGTTTTTGAAATGTTGTTATTATTATTATTATTAAATCTTAACATAAGAGACTTCCTTGTGCTTGTATCTTATTTGCCCGGGAGGTTTGGCAGCAAGTGTTTGCAACAGACTGGAGCGTTTCTACTTGGAGCTGCTTGGTGACACACCTTCAGGTTTGTGATATGCTTGCAAACATCCCTGCTCCTGATCCAGACTTAAAGGTGGTCTGTAAAAATGTGGGAAGGCAGTGACAGTGTTGACATGGAGGAGAGTAGAATAAAAATACTCATCCAGGTATCAGAGTTGAGTTTTTGCTAAATATTTGTTAGTAAAACCAGAGGGGGAAGGAGAGCTGGAAGACTTTCATAGCAATGTTGGTTGTTTTTTTTTGTTTTTTTTTTTGAGGCACAGTTGCAGGTTTGCTATAGTTGACTGAGAAGAGATAGCTTGAGTTGCAGAAGCTGTGTGAGGACGTGTGCACCTGGATGGAGCTACCACTGGAGGCACTGCTAGTATGGCATCCATGTTAAATGCTGAGCTGTAGACCAAGCTGGGGACTGGAGGAGTTAAAAGAGGTAAGATAATGGGCTGTGTATTCCACCAGAGAGGAGAAGGGTCTAGGCCCAGACCTTCCTCATGGCCTTCACCTCAAATTTCTTACCCTGTGTATACAACAAGTACGTCCACAACAGCAGCCTGTGTGCCTTCACTTCAGCCTATGCACTGTGGGACTTTGTCCAGCATAGCAATGCTGCTTGCAGGTGGGGCCCTTCTGCCTCAGCTGGCTGTTTGCTTGGGCTCCTTATTTGCTTTCTGCAGTCAATGCCACCTCCTCAGCATGCATTTCAGTTCAGCTGGGTCCAGATTGCCCACCTGCTACCCTGAGCTTCCACAGGGCCCTGCTTATCCTGGGGTTTGCCCACTACATGCCTGTGGGCTGGGGCTGGACAGGCAGCACAGGACCAGCAGTGACTCTGTGACTCTCCCACCCCTTGATTTAATGCTTTGTGTGAGCTTTGGGGCTGCAAAAGCTCTCCAGCTGGGGAATCAGAGGAGGAAATGTCACCACTGTGGGGAGACAGCTGAGACTGTGCACCCTGCGACTGGGCTTATCTGCTGCTGTGCTGACATCCCATGGTGACACAGAGTGACAATGCCAGCCATGGAGTGGGCAGGTGCAGTGACAGCTGTGTGTGGCTCCCACAGGTACAGGGCATTCAGAGACAGGGATGGCAACCTAACTTTGACCTACTGCTATCTGCTGGCTGTATGCTTGGGCTTCCTCATCGTATGTCAGGTAATGGCCACTGGGCCCTGCCAGGAGGGATGGGGCATGGGTACTGGGTGGGGATGTGCTGACCCTGTGTCCCCTCTTGCTGCCAGCATGAGGTTTTATCAGGCATGTGGTCATCTGCCTGGTGCCCAACATTCCTAAGTTGACAGAGGTCAGGGTGAAATGCTCTCATGCTTTGCTCTCAGCTCCCCTAGAGGCAACGCTCACTGAGCTTGTCCTGGCTCAGCACAGGCAAGCTGGAGCTCCTCACAGCAGGCTGAGCCCAGCCAAGCAGGGGTTGCTCTGGATCTCAACCCACCAGTAGAAATAACATCCGTGACACTCTGAGCTGTTTCAGGTTTTATTTTAGAATTTATAAAATTCCAGTGTCATCCATACTCATGAGCCTTTTTACATGTTTGCATATAGTCTCCAAATTCCAAAGTTAAGGCCAAGGGATCATTGCTATGGAAACATACAATATGGAAGACGTCAGAGAGGAAATGGACACATGCCACAGTCTGCTGCGGAAGGAGGGTGGTGGGGGACAGTACTAGGTACAATCACTTCATGACCTTCTTTAGAGTGGAGGGTCGGGCTGTGGGGCAAGCCCAGGTGGCAGTGCCCCAACTGTAACTCAAGCCTAACTGTGCAACTGTTGAGGGCAGGGGGTATAAAGAGGACGAGGGGGTGATAGGCTTGGTGACACAGGACAGATCTAAGCTACGGGGTAATAACCATTTCCTGACAGACACACGTGGGAGGGTGTTACCCTAGTTCTGCCTGACCCACCCTGTTTGCCATCTCCTGGGTGGATACAAAGCCACCCCGTCCTTCAGGGGCAGGTAGGTGCCCTGCAAAGGGATGTGGCCTGCTTCAGTCACTTCTCAAACTTACAGAGAGCACTAAGAGGTTTTGGTGCAACTTCTGCATAGCAGCCTCTTCCAAGGAGAGCTGTCATGGGAAGGAGAAGCATTGGCATGTCAGGCCTGTCAGACAGAGCAGAGTGCTGGAAAAGGCAAGCATGTTGGGCCCAGCCTGCCAGAATTCAGGCCTTTGCCCCATAAGCAGCACTAGAGAAGGGAGGCTAGGGACTCCTGCTTGTCAAAGAGCTGAAGCAGCTGGGATAGAAGGATGGCTCAAACTATAAACTTCTGTAGGACTGAGGCAGGGGAAGGAGGGAACACAGGGCCCCAGCGTCCCCTGCCTCCCTCTTCATAGATGTGGTTTTCCTCTTACTGGCTGGAGGAGCTCAGACACGGCCTTTTACAGCAAGCCAGGGCAGGGCCTAGGCACAAGCAGCCCAGAGGATAGAGCATGGATCACCCTCTCCAGCCCATACAATGGAGGCCTCAGGGAGGGCTTGACGCACCACACTGTCAGCCCCATCGCCTTCAGTTCCCCTCTTCTACCAGAGCAGAAGCCCGGCTCCCAATCTCTGCAGGCTGCTGCAAGGCTGGGGCTACAGTCCTGAGGCTCAGGGAAATCCTATGGTCCCACAGCCTGCATATGCCTGGGAGCACTTTGCTTCCCTCCAGAGGAGCTCACACAGCTGCTCAAAATGCTCCTCTTGGTTTCCTCCAGGGTTCTGCTCTGGATGCCAGGGTGAGAGCTGAAGCAGCTGCTCGCCCACCTACACTGAGAGACCACCATCATACTGACTTTTGAGGTAGAAAGAAGGCAATAGTAAATGGTGTCCCTGCCCCTCACACCTAGATGCTGCAGTGCTTGCAGGGGACTACAGCTCCTCAGGGCTCTGCTTCCCACCAGCTTCTCCTGGGCCACGCCATCACAGCAACCTCAACCAAACCAAAATCTGTCCCATCCAGTAACGCTGTCACGTGCTGGCTTGTCTGACTGCCCACGTGGCTTTTGGGAAGGGTGAATAAGGAAGTGCTGGGAACTAGGAGCAGGATCTGCCATCGCGCGCTGGAAGACTCATGGAGCGTGCAGGCTGGGGCTGTGCTTGGTGTGGTGCAGAGGTGCGCTGGCAACGCACTCTTACCTGACCAGGGCAGCCATATGTTGTTCTGGTCCCTTCCATCTCTGCTGCCTTTACAGCCTACTGAAGGTTTTGTTCCTTTAAAAATTAAATTTCTGACCTTTTAGATTATTTTAAGCTCTCCCCACAGTCAGCTATCAGCATTAAATGAATTTTTGGCAGTTCAAAGGAAAAAAAAAAAAAGTTGATTGCACTCTACAAAGGTAAGGTAAGGCCTGGGATAAACACAAAGGAAAGAGGGCAAACGTTTTGGCTTTAGAAAGTCAAGGAAATTTATTTCCTGAGGTCATGAGACAGGAAGTAGATTCCTAGCCACAGTAAAGGAGGTCTCCTAATGAAGGCAAGAATGCCTAGTAAGACGTGCTCAAGAGAGCCGATTTTTTTTTCTGGTAGCATTTGGGAAGCTGTAAATCTTAGTCACTTTAAGTCAATTATGAAGTTTCTAACAAAAATACACACACTTAGTGTTTGAATTTGAGTGGAAATCTTGTTCCAAAGAAGGAAAGTAGATCCATCAAGAGATGAGAATGGGTCCTAGCTGTGGTGATAGCTGAGGGGAGCAGGATGGGGTCTAGCACTCCAGACACCATTAGGAGACCTCATGGGGCAATTGACTTGTGCTCCAGCCGCTGGGTCAGATTTCAGACAGGAAGTATTTGTGGCAGGTTAGTGTCAGGTCAGCGGGCTGGAGGAGATGGTTCTGCTTCCAGGTCATTATCGTTTGGGTCCCCAGGGAAGAGTCTTGGGGGCAACTTGAGCCCCAAAGCTGGGGAAGTCTTCAGAACTGCTCATATCAGGGGCCTAGAGCAAACAAAAAGGGAACAAGTTAAGCTCCTGCCTTGCTGCAAACCTGTACAGTGCCCCTCAGCTAAGCAGCTTTTCTGATGTCCTGTGGGTGAGGGCTGAGCACAATCATGATGTCCTTTGGGTGCCCAGGACAGACAGCTGAGCCTCTAGAGATGGCACTGAGGAGGGTGCAGACAAGGAAACAGCAGGTGGATCAGGGGATCCACGAGCCCAACCTCAATAACTTGGTCACTGGAGCAGGGTCAGGACAGTCCTGCAGCAGGACAGGACACCAGGGCAGCTGAGGACAGAGCAACCATGTGTCCTGATACATTGCTCCCAGCAAGAACACAGCTGCAAACACTGAACTAGTTTTGTGCCCTGCCCACAAGTCAGAGGTGCCAGGGCACCTCGTTAACCTCTAAAAAACACATGACCTAATGGAACACTTTCAGATAAGGGTTCTCCATCCCCCAACAGTTTTGCTGTATCTTACAGTGGAACATTCAGTGCAGACAAAACATTTGGAAGGAGACAGGGGTGCTATGGAAGCTAGAGCCTGTATAAATCATAAAGAGCAGGATGGCCCCTTTTGCTTTTTCCACCACCAAGGCCTGAAATGGGGGGGCAGATGACAGTCAGCCACACTCTCTGTGCCCCTGCAGCAGAAGCAGCACTCACTCACCTTTTCATTGTTGACAGTGGCCCAGGGGGCATCTCTCACCACGAAGCCCTTGGATGGGGCCTTGGACTCTTCATGGGAAGAGGGCTTCATATACACTTGCATTGCCTCATTGTCCACCACATCTGCAAGCTGCAGTCAAAAGGCTCAATTAGGAGGATGGATCTTAACCGTTCTTCAAACTGCTGTAATCCCCACACCCAAACTATCCCACATCTTGCTGCAACCTGTCTCATGTCACCAGCCTGTTCCACAATGACTGAACACAATGTTTCTCTACTGGTGTGATGACCACCGACTACTAGATTCTAACTGATGCAAGCTGC